CAGAAATAATACAATTAACTTTCAAAGAACTATAAATTAATTGATATCTAAGTTGCTGTTATTTTACCATAATTTGAAGGAATCTGATCTAAGAATACTTTAATTTCACCACAACTTTTTTTTAAACTCCAGTGCATATTGGAGTTTCCAAAATTTTAGCAGAACTGGGTAAAAAAAGATACTTCCATGTTATTATTCTTGTTAATTTTCAAGGATCTTGGGATGTTTTATAATTTCGCATAAATATTCAGATCTCTCCTAGAATGAAAGGCAGCCTTGATCCTGGAAGTGAGTGGGCTCTGGCTGTAAGTCAAGGGGCTGTGATCTAGTCCCATCTCCTTCCTCTGTGACCTTGAACTAGTCAATTTACTGCCTCTCTCCGACCAAGAATTTCCTCACCTGTAAAATACAAGAATTGAACTAGATGATCTCTCAGATTCTTTACTCTCAAATTTTATGGCCAAGTCCACTTTTTGACAGCTAAAAAAGATGGGGCTAATTTCAATGCATATTGTCTGTCTGCATATCTAGCATATAACTGATTGCAGATGCCTAGGAGCTAAAATGAAGGGTCAGAAAGGTGCCATCTGCTTCTATTACCAATTACATTGTGAAGCTGCCTCAATTTTTTTAAACATTTAGTGAAAAACAGAAGTTGGCAGGAAATGTGTTATAAACAATATCACCCCCGCACATTCATTGAATAATTCATAGCCAGTGTTTGGTAAAGGCATAGTTTCTGAAATGACATTTTTTTCCCAAATACCTGAATGTTCCACATCAGTAACAAATGATTTAGTTAACATTACTTTGCTAATTACAGTGCTTAGAGATTGACGTCTCGGACCCAAATGTATTGTATTCTTATCAATTTCTTCTGAATTAATTTCTTTCATATTAGATAGGAACAAAATATTTATCACAGTTGACTGTTCACATAATCACATTTTTTCCAGCTTTACTGGAGTATAATTAACAGATAAAATTATATACATTTGAAGTAGACAGTATGATGTTCTGTTTTATGTACATATTGTGGAGTGATCACTATTGACCTGCTTAACACATCCATCTACCCATACATTATCACTGGGATCTGCATGGTAAGCAAGCTTAAGCAATGCTGTCTCAGCAAATTTCAACTACATTACATAGTCATTGTGTTATTCATTAAAAAATATGCAAAACTTATTCATTTCAAACTCCATATGCCTTAATCCACACCCTCCCATTCCTCTCATGCTCCCCTATCACTTAGTGACCACCACTACCCTCTCTGCTTTTCTGAATTCAACCTAGAGCTCACAGGTCACTGAGATCATACATTCCCATGAGAGTTTGTGCTTGGTTTCTGTTGTTGTCATCCTCTATTTAATATATGATTTGCAGTACTCTTTGACAGTTTATCTTAAGAAGTTAAAGGACACACTCATAGCTAAACAGAACATATAGCTACCTAGAAGTTCCCATTGCATCTTTCACACCCATATACGTATACATGCTCTTCTTCACCCTTTTCTCCTCCCTTTCTCTTTCTTCTGCCAAATTCTTAAAAATCTCCATTCATTTTCATTTCCCAGCTGTGGTGGTCTGAAAGAAAATGGCCCCCAAAGGGAGTGGCACTATTAGGAGGTGTGGCTTTGTTGGTGTAGGTGTGGCTTTGTTGGAGGAAGTGTGTCACCGTGGAGGTGGGCGTTGGGGTCTCATATATGCTCAAGATACCTCCCAGTGTCTCAGACTACTTCCTGTTGCCCATGAGTCAAGATGTAAGAACTCTCAGTTCCTTCTCTAGCACCAAGTCTGTCTGCATGCTGCCTTGATTCCCACCATGATGGACTGAACCTCTGAACTGTAAGCTAGTCCCAATTAAATGTTATCTTTAAAAGAGTTGCTGTGGTCATGGTGTCTCTTCACAGCAATAGAAACCCTACTGTGCTGTGGATATCGCTCTGTATAAATAAAATGCTGATTGGCCAGTAGCCAAGCAGGAAGTATAGGCGGGACAAGCAGAAAAGAGAATTCTGGGAATAGGAAGGCTGAGTCAGGAGACACTGCCAGCCGCTGCCATGAGTACCAACATGTAAGATACTGGTAAGCCATGAGCCATGTGGCAAGGTATAGATTTATAGAAATGGGTTAATTTAAGATATAAGAACTAGATAACAAGTTTGTAAACAAGTTTGTAAACTAGATAACAGTTTGTAAACAATATAAATCTCTGTGTGTTTATCAGTTAAGTCTGAGAGGCTGCAGGACTGGCAAGAGAGAGAGATTTGTCCTGACCATGGGCCAGGCAGGACCAGGAAAACTCTAGCTACACTACTGTCCTATGCCTAATAACAAGAAACCACCTTATCAATAAGGAATGGATTACCAGAGGTAGAAAGCCCCAAATCCACTAAATCTCTAATCTGTCTTGATGTATTATTTAACTAGTTGTAATGTCAGTTTCTCTGGAAAGTTAATCTGAGCTTACATGGTTTACATGTGTACATGTAAGTGAGAGGTGAGTGTATATGTGAGCTATGATATTAGAAAGGAAAACACTAGTGGAGAGAAACCAGTGTTGAGCAAGTGGGCCTGGGCCAGAGCAAAATGCCATAGTGATCCTTACTACCGTTGGTGTTAATCAAATTTTAAAACAAGTTATTACTGGATTTTTGTAGGATTCCAAGAATTAATGTAGGAAATATATTCAGAATGTCAGCCACTATTAAGTTTCTCAAAGAGCCTATCTGTGCTTATAAATTTTTAGCATAAAACTAATACAAATTTATTTTAAACACTTCAAAGTGGAATATTTGTGACTAAAATGATGAAAACCATTCTGTTTGTTCAACGCAAAAGAACTACTTTTCAGCTTGCAGTACACAAAAAAGTGTACACTGCAAAGTCAAACAAAATCCTACATATCTTTCTGCCAATACCTTTTATGTCCTTAACCTATCAAGATATTATTGAGTCATTCTTAAATGATGGCTCTAAGGATCACATCTCCATTATCTCTATAAACTCCAAACTCTCCATTGACTCCTTTTCAAGAAGCAATACACATGTAATATATTCAATTACAAAGCTGTTCATGCATCCTTTTATACCTCCTTCCTTTCTTCCTTCTTTGCTTAGGTAGGACCTCACTGTATATCACAGCATGGCCTCGAACTCATGATTATCCTACTTCAGTATGCAGAGTGCTAGGATTGCAGGCATGTGCTACCACACCCTGCAGCTACTGCCCTGCTTTTCCCTGGTGGGAATCTATATTTTGTATTCTAGCTGTATCCACAGAATGTGGAACATCTGATAATATATGATTTAAAAACTCTTCCAGTGATCTAAGTCTTGGTATTATGATGACAAAACTGAATAACTGATCCATCTCAATATGATAGTTTTTCGTCCAGGTGTTTAGATTTCCTGTAGGTCCAACTGTAGTGCTGGAACTACAATACAATATGGGCATTCCAAAATTCAGTTTGACAAATTTCTCAGCAAAATATCATAATTACCCCTTGATTTGTTATTCAACCACAGTGTCAATGAAAAGGGTATTAAGGGCGTTTTAAAGGGTGCTATACTCAAGAAATGTGTAAACAACAGAGTACAAAACCAAAGAGCCAACCACTAAACAGTACCAGTACATCATACACACAGCTGCCAAACTTCCATAGGTAGACTCAAGTCATAGTCTGATAGGGCAGTCATCATTTAACCACCTTTCCCATCCTAAGTGTGAGTCATTTATTAACTTCATTATACTGTCGTTAGAATGAACTTGTCCATTAGGAAAATAGGATTAAAGATGGCAAAATGCTAGCGTCTATCCACAAGCAATGGAGCTGTACAGTGTCATTCAGTTCTCTGAGCTCGGCCTTGAGACCCAGATCTTTCATTTCCTGGGACTTTCAGAAATTTAGTAGCCTATTCCCTAAACTGCTCAACATCAAGGTCCTCCTGAGCCATAAACCTTCATCTCCATAAGTCTCTCTCAGAACTTCTTGGGTGGAGCTCAGGAGAGGCTCCAGGGCTAGGCAGCCTTCACCTCATAAAATCAAGATTTAAGGCCGGTAACATTTGCTGCCTTACTGTTCCTTCTGGCTTGAACTATCCCGGCATCTAATTTTATATCACCAAATATTTTCTACTTTTAATGTCTTTCTAGTACTGTCATTTTCTTCTTAGTGTTTTAGACACCAACTTCACTATGAATTATAAACTCATTATGCTCTATGAATTTGGTTCCTCCTTTCCTGTCTCCAACAGGGAAAGTCCTAGAACCGTCAACAGGTGACCAAAAACTTGAAAAACAGTGCAGATTCAATGTGAATTAAAGAAAAGACATAAGCAGAGAAAACCCGGTATACTGAAGGTGTCTATAGTATATTGGTTTGCTGGCGATCGATACATGTTCTGAGACAGGATCATACGCTTTGAATTCCTAATATTCTTGCCTCTATTTCCCAAATGCTAGGAGTGCACACATGAGCCACTTCTAAACGCATTCATTGCATTATCTTTCGTCTTCCTGGGTGCTGGAGATTGTGGCCAGACAAAGTGCTCTGCCGCCCAACCTGCATGCGCCCCAGGCAGTGCACCCCAATCCTGCACCACCTATCTCCATTCTCTCCTGGCTCATTTTCCGCCCAAGTGTAATCTAGCCATAGAACCTTTCCTGATCTGCCCCCGCCCCCCGCCCCGTCTCTCCCCAGGTTTGCTTGGTGTCGCTCCTCTACCATCTAAACTCCCTGAATCTCTTTCTCTGTAATCGCTCATACCAAATTGCGTTAAAAGTCTATTTTTCAGCCCTTCCCTCCTCTCAAAGACACAAACTTGTCACCCATATGCAACACCAATACATAATAGCTGCTCAAGAAAACATTTTGAGTTATGGCTGCCTTGAGAGCCTAGTGAGTGTGCACCCGTGGTCTGGGAAGGTGCCCAGTCCGCAGGGGGAGGCCCCACGAAGTAAAGTTGCATCTCAGCTCTGGAGGCGACAGCTTCTCCGGTCCCTCAGCCATGGCGGCTTCCGGGAGTGGTATGGCCCAGAAAACCTGGGCATCGGCCAACAACATGCAGGAAGCGCAGAGTATCGATGAAATCTACAAATACGACAAAAACAACAGCAAGAAATCCTGGCGGCGAAACCCTGGGGTAAGGATTGCCATTACTTTAAATACTGCAAAATCTCAGCGTTGGCTCTCCTGAAAATGGTGATGCATGCCAGACCAGGAGGCAACCTGGAAGTGATGGGCTTAATGCTCGGGAAAGTGGATGGAGAGACCATGATCATCATGGACAGCTTTGCTTTGCCTGTAGAGGGCACTGAAACCCGAGTAAACGCTCAGGCTGCTGCCTATGAGTATATGGCTGCATACATAGAAAATGCCAAACAGGTTGGCCGCCTTGAAAATGCAATTGGCTGGTATCATAGCCACCCTGGGTATGGTTGCTGGCTCTCTGGGATTGACGTTAGTACACAGATGCTTAACCAGCAGTTCCAGGAACCATTTGTAGCGGTAGTGATTGACCCAACCAGAACAATATCTGCAGGAAAAGTGAATCTTGGCGCCTTTAGGACACATCCAAAGGGCTACAAGCCTCCTGATGGAGGTCCTTCTGAGTACCAGACTATCCCACTTAATAAAATAGAAGACTCTGGCGTGCACTGCAAACAATATTATGCCTTAGAAGTCTCATATTTCAAATCCTCTTTGGATCGTAAACTACTTGAGCTTTTGTGGAATAAATACGGGGTGAATACCCTGAGTTCCTCTAGCTTGCTTACTAATGCAGACTATACCACTGGCCAGGTATTTGATTTGTCTGAAAAATTAGAGCAGTCGGAAGCCCAGCTGGGGCGAGGGAGTTTCATGTTGGGTTTAGAAACCCATGACCGGAAGTCAGAAGACAAACTTGCCAAAGCTACTCGAGACAGCTGTAAAGCTACCATAGAAGCCAACCACGGATTGATGTCTCAGGTTATTAAGGACAAACCATTCAATCAAATTAACGTCGCTTAGTTACCACTGAGGACTTTTTCCTGAAAGCTGACGTGTAGAATAAACAGCACCTCCCGTAACACTTTTAAACCAGTTACCAAAACTCAGACTAGAAGACTAAGGTGCTGTGCATGTCTTAAGTATGAGCACTGTAATAAAACTCTAACATGAAAAAAAAAAAAAAAAACATTTTGAATAATTGAGTCCCAATGAGACATTCAACATTATTCTGGAAAATCTGTAAATATTTACATGCTATAATTTAATATTATAAATGTTTTTTTTAATTGTAAATGGCATCACATTTAATTCCATCAAAGATCACACAGTAAGAAAGGATCGTAATGGGCATATACATCCATGCGACAGGAATTCCAAATGCTCAGTGCCCGCCATTGCTTTTCTGAGTCGTGGACATTAGAAGGCGCTCCATTCATCGCTGTTCTCAGAAATAAGCCGAAACTTGTTCTCTTCTATAAATAAGTGATGAAAAATCAGTAAGATTTGCTTGCAATCTTAGACATTGCATTTCAGAATCTAGCTAAGAGCCTATCTTTCTGCTGCTGATGTCACTCGATGTACAAGGGACAACAGCAACCTAGGAGCATCAGTCCAATTCCTAAGGGGTAACAGTCAGGAATTGTTTGGATCCTTCATCATCATAAGATGCACAGCTGTGCACAGAAAGCCCTAACTTCCTCGCTGCTTATCAAGATCTGGGTTTTGTCAGCTGTTAAAGGGGCCTGGAGAGTACGCAAAGCTCTCTCTGGCCCTTGAGAACGCCATAATCATGAATTAGGAGCTGAAGATAGTCTGCACATGCATGATACATGGAGAAAACATCACCCAGTGCATTCCCTGTAGGATTTTTTTTTTCACTTGCCAGGTCCAGGAACAGAGAAGAAACCTGGAATCAGTGTACATCTGGCCACTTAAAGAAAGGGGCAGAAAAACTGGGCTCACTCATCCCCAAATAGAAAAAAAAATCAGATCAGGTTTCAGGACCGGATGTCCTTCCCAGAAGGTAGCAAAATTACAAAAGATGATGTTGCCAAGGAGAGAACCCATCTCTGAGAGCTTGGAAGGTGACTCGAAGACACATGGTCAGAACATGGCCCTCTAATCACTCCACTGGTCCAGCTGCATGCTTCCCAGCTGGCATAAAAGTAGGAGACACCTGGAAAATTAAGGCAAAATCAAAACACATCTCTTGGTTCAGAGGAAATCAAGCATGATGTTGGCCAGGGGAGGAAGGATGTGCTGGATAGCTGCCCGGAACAGAAGTTGCTCTCATGGTGGCTGAGGTCAGACTTCACACTTTCATCCTCCGAGGTGTGTGTCAACTCAGTATATTCGGATCATTCATTCATCATTGTTAGAAGAGACTTAACTTCATGCACTAGTGTGGATGCTTATCTCTAGAATGCTAAGTGATAAGATGGTGTAGTCTATTGGGGGAGGAAACAGAAGAAGCCATGTTTCCAGATGGCGTGTAGAATGGATCCAAATAAAAGACCCCATCCCGTCCTCAGCAATTTCTTTGGCAATTGGTGATGTGTGTGTCTAGATTTAAAACTTGCTCAAGCACACTGCGGTTTGTTACTTCCCCTGAACTACTGTGAACGTTAGACCTTGCTCTGTCATAAGTGACCAGGAGTTGTCAATAGGTAAGTAATCTATTATCCAAACTCTAGCATTTTGTTTTGTTTTGTTTTGTTTAAAACTGAACCTTACACTGTAGCCTAGGCCTTCCTGAAACTTACTGTGTATCACACCCAAGCTTAAGCTCATAGGCAATCCTCCTGCCTCCACTTCTCACGTGCTGGAATTATTGCCTAACAAGTGCTCAGCCACCACACCTGACTTGACATTTGCTTCTTTATCAAACAGAAAAACTCATCGATTAGTCTAATCGGAAACACACGTGTTTTCTCAATCCCTCTCCTCCCACCCCTCCCAACTTCCCCCATGACTCTTGCTCAGCAATGTTTTATAAAAAGCCCAACAGGCTGAAGGAAGCAGTGTTCCGAGTTCTGATCTATCTGAAGCTTCAGACAGTGTGAGCTCCCACAGTGAAAGCAGCCCTGTGGGCGTTGAGCTGGAACTGTGGGAAGACTTACCCAAAAGCTGTAAGCAAAGACACATTCCACAAACAGCTTCCAAATTCCCTACCTGCATCATGCTAAATGCTTTATGGACTGTGCAGGAAAACTTCCTCAGTGGCAAGGAACAGCAACCCAGTTTAAACTAATAGATGCAAAACCAAAGTCCATTGAGGACTTTTAAAGGATTTCCCCAAACTGAAATGAATGACTCAGCCTAGCTTTGGGAATAGCTGGGACTATGGGTTTTTCTGATCCAGCTTAGCCGCATTGAGCTGCAATCAGAAACAAGGTCTCTCTTCCTCCTTTACCCCCTCTTCTTCCTCCCCTCCTTTTCCTCCCTCCCCACCACCACTGATTTCTCATTATCTATCTGATCTTTCTAACAGCAGACCTTCCTCTAGTCATAAAGTCTCAAAATAGACCAAGGTGACCAACCATCCATCACATTTGGGGGCGGGGGGGAGGTAGACAGTATCCCAAGCTGGCTTTGACCTCATGATGTAGCCAGGAATGACCTTAAACTTCTGATCCTCTTGTCTCCACCTCCCACGTCATAGGATGACAAGGTGTGTACAATATTTGGGGACAGGGTCTTTAAATAGGTAATTGGATAAAAAATGAGGCCATTGAGGTAAGTCAGGATATGATCTGACTAATGTCTCTATGAGGAGCAATCTAGACTCAGAGACAAACAGAGGGAACACTGTATGAGGACACACGTGGGAGGTGGCCATCTACAAGCTAAGGAAAGGGGTCTGAAAGAGAGCCTCCCCATCACCCCCTGAAGAAGCTAACCCCGCTGTCATCTTCTTCTGGGATTTGTGGCTCTAGGTCAATGAGGAAGGAAGCATCCACTGCTTGAGGCCAGCAATGGGCCGTACGGCTTCCCATGGAAAGTAAAGAATCTTCTTGCGCATTTCCCAGGGAGCTGATTGAGGAGACCAGCAGATATCTAAGCCCCACCTTCAGAAACCAATGTTCAAAATATCGACTCCACACGGGAGCACACAGGCAGAGGTGCCGGCCGATGGAGTTTGCTCACAGCGACCACGGACCAGTTGTGGTCAGGCCATTCTGACTATGATCCCTAAGGTTTTAGAATCTAAAGTTGTCTAAAAGTTAGACAGTACCATCCCGACCCTCACTACCCGCCACCCTGAGCCATCTGCACCCCACTCTGGTGAATGTTCCCCACCCCACTCAATCACTCCAGTAAATTTTTCATTCAGGGTCTGAAACCGAAACAAATTTATCCATTATAAAAGAAAGGAATTTGGCATCCGAACCTAGGGTGGAGAAATTGTTCATTGTTGCACGACAAACATATATAAATACCATTTAATATCCTTAAAAACAAAACAAAAAGACCATGACACATTCCAGAAAGTATTGAGTTACCCTTTTTTAACAGTACAAGAATCAAGTTGGGGACTTGGCTAATAAGAGAAGCTTCCTCATATGTATGCTATACAGAGCTCATCAGCTTTCTAAAAAAAAAACCTAAAAACCTAAAAGTTGAATGTGTTTCATTTTGCCTTCAACTTCACCTGACACTAGCGAGTCAAAGATAAAGATTGGTGAAACTACATTTTCACAGCTTCCCATGACATGTTAAATGGCTGGTTTGTTTGCAGCATATCCTCTATTCCTGTCTAGAAAGGAAGGAACACAGACTAAATTTCTGCCTTAGCCCACGGACCACAACCCAGAAACAAACCACGTCTCTAAAGCTTCAGGGAATGTAACAAAAATCCCTGTAATGTGGATTTAGTACCACTTAAATAATTCCACATTAATAGCATTGATTAACAGTGCAACATTACCCAAAAATATATCTCCAATAAAGTAAATGTTCTTAGTCTAATGTGGCTGATTTTTGTTTTCAGAAACTTAGATGAAGATATAGGACATATGCTTTAAAATTAAAGTATCACAAAGCTGAAGCTATCCATCCCCTTAGATACGTAAGTTAAAATTTTAAATGGTATTGACTAGCAAGAAATAAAAACAGAAATTGTCTATTTTTACATGGTTAATGTGTTTTAATTAGCATATATGCATCACTTCCTTTATCATATTCTCACACATACATATCATGTACTTTATTGATATTCACTCACTACTGTTTATTGTCTCCCTCACTGTCCCTTGACTTCTTTTCCCCACACAGTCCGCCTTCAAACATGTCAGGAGTGTGTGTGTGTGTGTGTGTGTGTGTGTGTGTGTGTGTGTGTGTGTGTGTGTGTGTGTGTGTGTTTAAAAATCTATATGAGGGAAAATACTGTATTTTCTGAGACAAAGCCTCACTGTGTCCTGCTTCTTCCTATTAGAGATGCAATATGTATATGATATTTTCAAGTGCAAAACTATTCGTGTATATATTTTTTCTTTCTGTTGTTGAGCTAGGAACTAACTGTACAGTTCAGGCTGGCCTCAAACTCAGCAGTAGTTCTGCCCCAACTTACAGAGTGCTGGGATGACAGTCATGTACCACCATGCCCATCTCAAAATTCTAAAATTTCTTAAATTCAGTATCAAATTCTTGAATTTAGGACCCAAATTCAACTGAGCAACATAAGCAACAAACTAAGATCTTGAGAGCATGCAAAGCTATGTTTTACTGTATTTTTATAACAGCACAGATGTCTGTTGTATATATGTATGTGTGTGTGGAGATGCATGAAATAAGGACCATGAAGATAAACACTAAGTGCTGGCTGCTTGGTGCTAAGGAGAAGAGCTGTAAGAGGCAGGCAAAGCTCAAAGAGTCTCTCTTTTTATTCTATGTATTTATCAATAGCATAAAACTTTTACCAAACGAGTTTAGTCTCAAATTAATTATAACAAGATATTAGGGCCAGCAAGGTGGCTCAGCAGGTTAAAAGACTTATATCAAGCTTCATGATCTTTTTTTCCATTTTTATTTATTTATTTTTTTATTATCAGCTTGATACAGTATAAGTTCTTATCCTAATAGTGAAATGTTTGATTGAGGCTTGCCCAGTAATTGAGTAAAACCAAAACTTATTACAAGTCACAGTCATTCTAGAGTCCCCCCTACTATATAGCCTCCCTGGTTCTG